GCTTTATTATCAAATAGCTAAGGAGGAGAATCGCGAAAGGTCAGATGATGAAATAGAGCAGATGCTCAAAGCAATGATAATCTAGCTGTCTTCTGGCAAAGCTTTTTTATAAGCTAGACTAGTGAATGGTGAATATATAGGGAAGACAAGTTATAGCATTAACATGAATATTATATATTTTTTTCTAGCGTATGAGCAAGCGGGTAGGGAAGACACTATGTATACATTAATATTAATTTTTCAATTACGGATATAACAAAGTATGGGGTTTACTAGCAATTTGCACAATATGGAAAGTTTAGATGATATTATAGAAGATAAGAATAAAAATATTAAAAAGGTATTTCTAATAGGAGTTGCATTTGAATTTTGACAAGAAGCCTATATAATTAGTCTTAAATTGACATTGGATAGATTGGCACGAGAGCTAGAGTTTGCGCAAAAAGATGATAAGCCAGCCAGTCCGGAGCAGTGATCATCAGTTCAGAAGATTTTTGCTGAGCCACAGATTGTGCGACAAAAATAGGCCGATCATCAGTCAGGTCTTGTGTGACATAATAATTTTTGCATATATATTCGAAAAACATATTAACCTTTATTCTTTATTTTTTTTCCCAAACAAATGTGAGAAAATGTGAAAGGGGGTCTAGTTGCAACACAGGACCAGCTCTAAAAGTAAATATTGATGACAAAAGCATATATTATGAAAGGCTGAGAGAGTCACAATTTCGAGATCGTTAGACGTAAGACCAACTATGTGTCTCTCTGGTAGATCTCCATGTGAAAAGGTACAAAAGTTTTATTTACATGTGCTTTCATGAAGCTCTTGGCATCAGACGACAATACTAATCACGTCTCATACCTCCTTATCTTTTTTTCCAGCAAGATATAAAGCATGTAGAAGTATGTAGAAGTTCAGCCAACTTTTCGCAAAAAACTTTCTCGTAAAATAACGCAAAATAAGGTATGTATATGCCTTAAATTATGTATGTATAGGAGCGAGTTTTTTCTCACTATGAGCCTTGTATTTAGGAAACGAAAAAAAAATGGCCAATATTATTGACTTCAGATTTAAAGTCCATGATAAATCGGATGATGAAATCTTCATAATCAAAATAGCCTGGCAAACATTGGTCAAAAACGCCATACCCACTATTAAAAAAGGAATGGCAACACAAAATAAGCAGGTTCCTGATGACATTAAGCTTTATGTGGATGATCCAAGAGGGACGGCAAAAGTGTTGGAACAAGATGATATGATTTCTAAGTATTTTAATATTAATCACATTGAAGAGGGTCTCATCCCCATATATCCCCAGTAGTTAGAATTTTTTATCTATATTCATTATCATGCTATGTAATAGTTTTTATGTATTGTAGACCGGCTACCGGCAACGTTTTTTATTTCATAAATAAAGTATTATTTTATTGAACGTATATGAGAATAGGTCACGTGTAATGATGCTGCGACATAAAAGCCTACCAGTATTAATTTTTATCTCACTCCGGAAAGTAACACTATTTTTTATCTGAGCTCAATATTCCTATAAAAATGTAACACTATGTCTGAAACTAGTATACCTTATACTCCAGCTTTCACCTCTACTTCTGTTGCTGGAAATGAAACAGTCTCGTTGGCGGACGATATTAAAAAATATGACACAGCCCAAATATTCGAGTCTGTGTCGAAGAACGGATAATTCCATATATAGCCATTAACTTCTTTTTCATTATAGGCGACCTACAAACTCGAAGATGAAGACGAGGAGTTGCAAGTTGCAACAATGTATAAAGGAAATAAAGCGCAGATTGGGAAATATGGGAACTTTACTTGCTGATAGTAACGAAGCTATGCGTTGTGAATATATTTCAGCCATTCTCCATGCTTCGCTTTATATCGTCAAATGAATAACCAATAAAGAGCTTACCTTAGCTCCTCAGCTCGAAGTTGTTGGTGAAGAAAGTACTGAACGAGTCGATTACGCAATCAAGGCACTTGAGGAACTTATTTGCATCACGGAAGGAAAGCTACATCAAGTAGTTATGGGATTTGCACAGAATCTGGTCCAGTGTAAGAGTGCCTTACAGGTGAATAAAAATAAGAGAAAACGTAAGTCGGGTGAAGCATTTGGGGATGACTACGACTATATCTATGAGATCGTTACAACAGTCACGGAATGGTATTTCATTCTTTTTACCTCGGACAGAATATTATGCACAAGTAAAAATCCTCTTAATATCCGCTTTACCGAGTCTGCCTTGGAAGAAGGTTCGGAGGAAGAAAAGGAGTTGTGTAAAAATGTGAAGCGGGTGATGGAGGTTATCGTAGGATTATTAAAGGATAGGGTAGACGTAGAGGAGCCAGCGATGAAGAAGCAACGGGTTAAAGGGTATTTCGAAAAAGAATAATTATGTATAATAGTCCACCATTTGTATTCATTTTTCACTAAAAATTTTCTTGGGCAATTTTCCGAGACATGATGTCTCGGAAATTTCTTGGCAAAAGTGATCGACGTGAACATTGTTCACGCGCACATGATTTTTTTATCTATTACTATACGTGATCATTGTTTTAATAGGGATTAGAGGATGAAAAGCGCTAAGATAGATTTTATATTTGCCAATTGAGATCTCATCTTTACATAATTTACATCATATAACATATTTTTCACTACTAGTTTATTACTCTATGCATTGGAATAATAAAAAATTATTATATAAACTACACCACATATTTATAATACAATAGTGCTTATTCTTTGCTAATACACGAAAAACCAATTTACCAGAAGAATGATATAAAATACATCATGCTGAACTCACTTTTACTTAAGAGTAATAATGGGCACTTTTGTCTTCATAGGACTAGAGTTTGAATCACGTCGATAGCTTTCATTCAGTCTGGAGTTACTCTTTCTCATATTACGTTGTTCAGTTCCAAGAACGAACTCCTAAAATAAAATTTATAATAAATAAAAATGCTTAAAACAAACTAGTTTACTATTGCAAATAGACTCTTACTTTTAATTCATAACATCTCTCCATGACAGAGAGAATCACAAGAAACTCTGCTACCTCGGTGGGAAAAGTCATTTCAACTAGAGACACCAACTGATATAAACCATCGTAATTTAGAGTGATTCTCCAAAACTCAATTCTGTTTCCTGTTATATAAACATATAATAATTAGCATATTGCCCATCAGTGTAGGATTAGCTTTGATTACTTACCATTAATGAGTACACCGTACGTTTCATCATACATTCCTATATCTAGCGCATCTTTCATAAGAATAGCCAATTTGGAAAATGCCTGATTCACAATAGATTTATGATTTTCCACTTTTGGAGGCTTAATTTCACCAAACAAAATCTCGCTTTCATCTGTATCTTTGTAAATTAAGCGAAAGTCTGGCCTTAGCCCATGGGCATTGCTATCCCCTAAATGTTGATTTTTTGATGAGCTACTCTCTCCATTTGCCCTACATAAAAAATGTTTATAAGTTAATTCCACAAATGTCTTTGTAAAAATATTTATTGTAAAACAATATTATGGAACATACCATACAAGTTGGAGAGTTTCAACACGGAAAATCTCCTCCAAGATCACATGACAAGTTTTGTGTACATATGTGTCTTCATTTGATAAGTTCTTGTTCTTACCATAAGGCAAGTTGTAAAAACTATACATAACATTATATCAATAAATATATACAGATCTAATTATCTAATGCCAAAATATTTTTTATCTACTTACAAATTACGCGTTATAATCTGCATTGAGTCGAATATTCTCTTATCTTCTTGATCTTCCAATGAGGATATTTTGCTCCAGTTCAGCCTCCATAAGTCTTCAAATTCAGCCAAATCATTCCTCATTAAAGGCTTACAATAAAATACAAATCAACGTATAAGTGTATTAAACTAATATAGCATAGAATTAATATATATATTTTACCTGTGTATATGAACATAAAGTGACTTGGACAAGGGCTGGCATCTTGAATTTATAAGTAATTTGTGGAAACGCCATCCGCCACTCATTGTCGGTACATGAAATATAGGCTGGTTTTTTGTTCTTTCTTAATAGCATAATGCTCGATAAGTCACTATGATAAGTACAGATGATATGTGAACATTTATTAAATAATACAATGACTTTTGCTAGAAGGCTTACATTATGGATTCAACATCGGTCGTATAACTTAAGGCTGGATCAGTTTTTAGTTTTTCGATAATTGACTTCTGAAATTGCCGAAACTCTTCGGAAAAATTGTGGCCTTCATTTATCCACTACTCAAATACAAAATATGAAAAGATGATTCAGCAAAGATATAATATACAGGTTATCATTTCAGCAATATTTATAAACATACATCTTTCGAAGAATCATCACTTATTTCCATTTTTGATATTACATAATCCCACGTAGATATTTGTTTGGATTTCACTTCAATACCAAATGAAGATATTTCGAAACCATGTCCTTTTTCAGAAGTAGTTATTTCTTCATAATTTTCTTGGACCTAATGAATACTATAAGTGTATGCACAAATCATCTAAAGATGATGAAACTAAACTTGTTCTCACCATTGGTTCAATCTTGCCATTTTTAGAAATCGTACTATTGTCAATCTCATCATCGTCATTATCGTCTCTTTTACGTTTTCCAACAATCGCATTGGTTATTTCGTCCAATGCTTTCGACTTAGACTCTTGATCTCGCATGGTCTAAAGGTTAGTTATTATGTTAACATTATTCTAAGGTACTGATTATTTGTAGAAAGAATAGAAAGACCTGTTTTTGCCGAATATCAATCTCATTTTCCTTCATTAGTTCTCGTCGTTCAACGCGATCAACAATCTTCTCGGCAAGATTCATGAAAAAATTTTTTTTCGTCTATATAACACTATTAATTAGTTATATCAAATTATGGAAAGTGAGATTTATTAGCAAAGGTTTACCTTCATAGCCATCCTTAGCTTTTTCGCATAGTCCGAAGCGTATTTGGGGTAACTGTCATTCTCATTTTTCTCGATGAAAGTCAGTGATCTACAAAAGGACCTAAATAATTCTGATGCCGTCAAAAGTGGGCTGGACTCTAATTTGGAATTCATATATACATTGAGAAGGTGCCATTCCGACATTGGATTAGTAGAGAAATAATCATCGATTTCTGCATGCGTGGGGACTTTATAATCCATGATTAGCTAGTCGTAATATAGCGACTTCTAGAGAAAGTACTGTACAGATGTAATGATAATCAACGTAACCTCTTAGTATTATATAATAAAATATGTGACACGTTTTTATTGGACAACTTACGCGTCCCTGTTTCATCACGTGCAGATCGCGGAAATAAGCACCACTCCAGTTTCTAAAATATGTTCTTGTAGGGATTTTGGCTAAACATCACTGCCTTTCTACGAGGGCCTCGCAGAATTGCTCGCCTTTACACCATCCCTACGCTTTGGACCTGGGAAACTACCTCCAAAGTTTATGACTCGTGATTCCACTCTCGGGAGGTGTATCGTAGAAAGAGATGAGGGTCTCGCAGAAATGCTCACCCTTTACACCATCCCTACGCTTTGGACCTAGGAAACTACCTCCAAAGCTTATGACTCGTGATTCCACTCTCGGGAGGTGTATCATCATGCAGTGATAAACCGATCACAAAAAAAGAGATAGCTAAGTTATATTATAATCTCTGTGATAGTTCTAGATCTTTAAGCTTTATTCTCACGAATCTTTATCATTCTTGCATAAAAAGCAAGATATCTATTACTGATAGTCATATTCTTGCACAAAATTCCGGACGAGTCGATAAGGTATGAATATTTTTTCAGTCATGGCTGTACATTTGCAAGGAAGCAACTTCTGGACTCGCAAACTAATGACTGCTTTTTTCATACAGAATTCCCAAAGGATTTATTAGCATCACGGAGGGTGGACTTTCGGCGGGGCTTTTTACTAAGGTTAATGTTTATTTTCCGACCCAACATATCTTGTATTAGTATAATTGATGGCCGTTTTTTGTTTTTATTCTATCAGAATATCGATGTTGGGGGCAAATGAAATCGGATTAGAATTAATATTGGGACATTGTGTTAGTGCATAGATAGCTTAGAGCCTTAGATGAATGAAACACTAGCAGGCATTAGCATAGAAACTCTAATTCACTTTGTAAACAAGTTTATGTGTTACCAAATCTTGTAATTTATTTTTTACATCAATAAATCAGTAATTCCAATTGTGATATTTTTTCCACGGTCTTTTTTATCTATGCTAACAAACTTTTGAATTATTCCATATTACATAAAAAAAATTATTATCAAACATGCAATCCATTGATTCATTGAGAGAATTAAATGCCAAGCTCTTAGCTGAGATTGCCGAGCTTAGGAAGGAGAATGCTGAGATTCCCGAACTTAGAGAGAAGTTGCTAAAATTTGCTGAGGTTGAGGTTGAGAATGTAAGGCTGAAGCAAATTATTGAAGAGAATGCAAGGCGTGATGCTGAGAATGTTGAACTCAAGTCTAGAGTCGGAGAGCTTGAAGCTAGACTTGCATTATTAGAACAGGGTTCAGCAGTGGATGAGATGGTGTTGTCATTTGGTCAGACACAAAATGGTGACGAAGCGATGCCAACTGTTGACGTACCCGATTCTGTAATAGACCAGCTCAATAATGAAGTAGGACGAGCACCTAGTGATCTTGATGGTAACGATGAGGAAGTGGTCGATTTCTTGGATGAGGCATATAAGAAAAGCATTAGTAATGAGATTAGAAAGAGGAGGCGGGAAAAGAAGCAGAAAGATCAAGAGGCACTCGTAATTTCTCAGGACGTGACTAAAATCCCTGAGGTCATGGACATGTTAACTTCAGAGCAAGACGAGCAAGACTTATCACAATCTTATGAGGCTAGTTCTGAGAGCATAAGATCTACATCTTGCGTCTTATCGAAGCAACTGCAAGTTAATGCATCCAAATTAACATGTAATCTTGAAAACTGTGAAGATTCTTCACGATCAGAGTCATGTGACATGGAGGAACTTAAATCCGATTTGCATGATGAAGTTATTGCCAAGTTGGATAAAAATATAATTGTGGAACAGGAGTTAAAGCAACAGTTATCATCACCTGCACATACATCTACATCAGATCAAACTTTAGAAGAACAGGATCCATCTTCAGATACCGCACAAAATATAGTTTGCATGTTCAGAAAAACTAATAAGCTTGGTCAAGAAGCAATTTTATACTGGTGCTACTTTATAGAAAAATATGACAAAAGGATTGATAACCTTGTTGTTGGTGGAGTTAAGAAAAAAACTGCAACATCTATGGTATATCAAGAAATCAAACAGCTTTTACCTGATATAACAGGTGTGAATTTGCGACAAAAAATTCTTAGAGCTAGAAAATTATATAAGTTATTCAATACATTAGGAATAGAGAAAATTAAACAGGTCTCTTATAGTGCAGATGCTATTTCGAGCCTCAGTTACCCACAAATACAAAATATTATAGATCATGTGAGTTCAGTGATAAGTTCACACAATGAAACCGTGAAGATTCTTCACAATCAGAGTCATGTGACTTCAAAAATTAATCCGACTAATACATATATTCCTCCAAAAGCTAAGGTAAGTACATCAGAAAATGTATTATCTGCATCCCAATCTAATCTAACTTATGACCGCACCTATTTTTGCAACAAGATGGACCAATATCCTACTTTATATAGAGAATTTAGTAGCGAAAATTTTGATTATTATGGCATTACCGATGAGATATCATGCGGGGACTATATCTGCCTATTATGCAAATTAGGTCATGATGATGAAGAAATAGAAAGTAGATATAAAACTGGTTCCTATTTTATTAAATGTGAACAGCGCGAAATTGAGATAGTTGCATAGTCTCATTGCTTTATAATAGTCTGGGTAACTCTTTGGGGCGAAATCTTTTTTTCGAACAAATAGGTTTATATAAGAAAAAAGGTATTTAAATTGACTCGCAACCATATAAATTAAGATATGTCCAAGACTGATAAAATACTAACCTCTGAATATCTGGATTGGCATTCCAAATTAAGTGAGTTACTAAGCGTTTTGACAGATAAGATTCGTACCAAATTATACAAAAGATATAAAAAAGAAACTGGATGTGAGCCATGGCAATTATCAAAAGCTGTGATAAATACGCCAGCAAAGCCTCAAGCCTCTGATTTCAAGCCTATCACTTTCAAAGTCAAATCTGATCAAGAGTTAATTATCAAATCTGTCTTAGAGCATTTCACATACCTGAAATTCCGAAATAGTTTTAGGGGGATTGATAATTATAATTTTGCATCACCTCAGCCATGGAGCTCACCATGCCCTATTTGTGATGGAAAACATGGAAATTATGGATTACATGATGAATGGTATGGAACAGAATATTGTCTTACTTGCTTCACTTCAAGCAATAAATTCAAGTTCGCGATTGTGGCTTAGACCGGTCATGTGAAATCAGGAAAATTCTTGCCGAAGAATAGGGTTATATGCGATGTACGACGGTACGAGTCGCATATACAGTATGAATTTTTTTTTCAGGTAAATGGAATTTCGCAACCCAATCTTGCAACTATGTAAATAAGCAAATAGAACGGGCATATTCGCTACATGAGAAAGTTCCAGTGAAAATAATGGAGACGAAACTTACTTAGCGAAATGTCGGACGAGACATTACCTAGGGTAGAATACTTTTGGTTTAGACTGAGCATTTGCAAGACAGCTAATATATAGTTTTCCTTTAAGGCTCTCGTTAGCATCACGACTGATAAAACGGAGGTTAGGATGAAAAACAATGAATATAGCAAGTTATTGGGTGGTGATAGAATAGACGCAATGAATAGGATAGACTATCATGTATGAAGCGGACCAGCGCCTTTCAACTGTATAATAAGCAAAGTCGCTAATTTGTAATTTATCCAATGTATTGCAAATAAAAAATCTTGCTTTGATTAACTCTTCGCATATGGATAGCAGAGTAGTAATGAACGAATTGATAAGAATTATTTTATGCTGATAGTTTGATCGTACACACACTAATGCAGGGCAATTAAAGACGAAATCTTAATTCGTGATCGGTAATAGATTTTCAATAAAGATCTGGGATTTTCCTTATTTTGCAACTATCTCTGCAACCCTTAACGTAATAGGTGCATCTATTCACACTAATTTCAGGCTATTATTTCATCTGCAGATCAAAGAAAAATCAGATTGAGGGAAAACTGTATAAGTAGGAGATGGGTGTGAAAGACACATAGGAGCGTTTATTTTCTCTCTACACTATGGCTAGTGAACCTTCGAGCACTACTATAACCAGTGAACCTTTGACCAGCACTTCTGAAATTTGAACAGATGCTACGGAGGTTTTCCAACTTGAAGCACTCTCATTAAATTACCTTCGAAATCAAGACATTTCAACTGTATCCTACGAGAAAGATCTTCTGAAACTTAATCCATGTAGTCTTTGCAACAAAGGCATTCTCACGTTTCGATTACAGGCATTTACGGTATTATCCTGTGGGCACATTTTTCACAGGATATGTCTTGGAGAATATATTGCACAAGGAGAAACGACAAACCCATTATGTCCTTTGTGTCCCTTCACTATTGAATTGTTTAGAGAAGAAGCAGTACTCGCCTCTGGAAAATATCATTTTCAGATGAAACAAACTGACACTGGACAGGGTGATGAGGAGCTCATGGATTCGCTAGGATTGGTAGAAGATGACCCTCGTGCTGGACAAGGGAGTCAATCGAAGCAAGTCACTATGCAGGATCAGGTGACAAGCCCAATTATGATTGAGGATGATGCTTCTGAAAATAATGATAATGAAAGGATACCAGATGCATCAAACCGCTCCGCCAATGTACAAACCAATGATGACACTCAAAACCTATCATCTCAACAGTTATCGAGAGGATCCTTTCCAAGGAATACGCGTTCGCAGGATAGATTTCAAGAATTATTGCGAGAACTATCTACACCTGTCAGGGGAGAACCAGTTGAAGCCAATGATGAAGAGGAAACAGGGGAAGATTCAGTTCCAAAGAGTTTAGTTCGACTATACCAAAAGGCAATGAAGACTGGATTACGAGCCACGAAAGCAAACCAAGAAGAAATCTCATGCTGGTATAATTATGCTAAAGGCTGTGAAGATAGAGTTAAGGCGATTAGGGAAAGTGATAGTAGGTTAAATGGACAGCAGGCCATGACTCAAGTATACAATGAGGTTAAAGCGCATCTTCCAGATATTACAATGGCAAATTTGCGTAAGAAAACTCAGAAAGCTAGGGTCATTTACAAGTTATTTGTGAATATTGAAGTAGGGAAAATTAAGCGTATTAAAACATATAGCGCGGATGCCCTTTCAAGACTAACTGACACTCAAATCAACAGTATTATAGCTAACTTTTCAGAATAATCTTTGCCGATCGTGTGAACAATGTTCACGCCTACGTGACTACTATGCCTCATATCGAAATAATTAATTGCCCATATCGGATTATTTTTATTATAGTCCGTACAATAATCATATATACTAGCATAGACGTTATGTATCAAGGGCTACCATCCTGAACTTTTGTACTTATTTTTTGTGTATTAATAAAAATTGTTTACTTGGCCAATCATCTTGTGATTTATAGAAACTTGCCAGCGCCTGGAACACTCCTAGAACTATCGAGGAACTGGGCCATAGGCACTTCGCACAGGGAACTAATGGAGATCACATGTGATACGATATACAGTACATCATGCCAAACTGATTTAGCCGAAAGCGCTGTGCATATGCATGTAAATATAAAATCTGAAGGGATATAACCCTATATAAATCCCTATTATCGAATAAAAATGAATTTGAATTTAGTAGTGTGTAGTCTCTCAAATCGGCTACAAATCGATAAAATCGCTATATAGCATTAAAACTGCCATAATTTTCTTAACCAGTAAATTTGAATCTGTTATTTATTAGAATATAATATCTCTAAATCAGTCAAAATCAGCTATAAACTATAAATCAATAAAATCGTTATATTCTGTTATAATCTACTAAAACGCTAATATGGATCTTGATAGTAGAGCCCATTCTAAGCTAATTGATGCATGGAATACTCATAGAGGCTCTGAAGATTATAGAAGAATACTTGAAAGATTAGGCACTTTAACAAAAAGTTATAATCACGAAACACCAGAAATGTGGTGTTCTCGTATTCGTGATCCATTTAAGAAAATACTAGAAGATAACCCAAGTATCCTTTCTAAGAATAGATATATTGAAATGTATAGAAAGTTATATGAAAATGATAAAGTCCACGGTTATCCAACAAATTATATATATTGCAGTGTATGTGACTCCTTAGTCTTTATACCTTATACTTCTTTTAGTGCTCGTATCTATCAAGATAACTATTTGAAGAGATGCATTTCTGGAAATAGTATTTCGAATGAACACGTAAGAAGAAAAGAAATTCTCAAATCTATTGATAGGAGGGAATTTCAGATCTGGCAATATAAGCAATATATATTATAGGAAGAGGCTAAAATTAATCGTCTTCATCTAGAACTTTTCTCCCAATCTACCCCATACTCAGAAAAAGATAAGTTAGCATCGATATCATATGATATTGATGGAAATTTTACGGCTAGCTATGAAAATTATGCACAATCTAAAGCAAAAGATACTATGTCAAATGCTCCAAATTTCGAGCCAGCTTATATTTCACCTACTAGACAAGAAACGATTTTACCAACTTCTTATCAATCATTGGCTCCAAATGAGACCATAAGCGAAATATTTATCTCATCTCGGTATGCTAAACAAAATAATTTATTACCATCTATAGATCATCTTAATCAGCCTGCATTAAGATTGAGAGATGGTACAAAAATCACATTCGTTTAACAACTGAGAAATATATTAATTATAGACTATTGAAGATTAATATCATTTAGCTAAAGGCGCAATGTATAACTTATACTTT